AAATTTTAAATAGATGACTAAGTGGTTAGGGTAGGTTAATGAAACTCCATGGCCTGTCCTCCATCTTCAATAATGAGTGACTCAGGACTGATCTGGTTCTAACATGTGCGCCCCCTCCCCAGGCAAGCTTCTCATTTGACAACAGATATTTCAGCGTGTGCTCAGAGAGGTGGAGTGTGGACATCAAGCACTGCCGGTTGCCTTTCAGGCTGTGCCTCACGCTGCTCTACAGAGAACAATGTTGAGACTTACAGCATCAGGAGTGTGTGAGGCCTCATAAAAATCAGTCAGATGCTTTCTGTTCCCTTCCGTTAACCAAGACCTCAAAACAGAAACTAATCACAGAGCCCAGAATATCTTTCAAGGTGGAGAGGAAGGGGAACAGATCGGAGTTATAGAGAGAAACAGGACATGGTTGGCATAAATTAGGAGTTCTCCATTACCACTGCCCACAATGTGACCATTAGAAACCGCCTGGACCAGTGTGGTCCTTATACAGATGAGGTAAGTGAAGCTTGGAAGGCGACCTAAGATAAAGCCCTGTGACAGCTCTGCTTGTCCCCAGTCCACAGGATTTATGCAGTACACGAACACACTTCCAACCCAGTGTTGGGAGAAGCAGAGAGGCAAGGGTGGCCTGCACAGGAAGGACAGACTCATCATGGTAACAGCCCCGATCGTGGTGTGTCTTCAAAGCAACATTCTGGATCTTCAGCGTCCTGCGTCATGTCCCTGTGAGTCTCACTGAAGACAGATCCCTGTTGTAAACAAAACAACACCCCCCAAATCTTCTTCAGACTGTCTCCCTCCCTAAACAACAGGCTCCATCCTTTCCACCCCCATGGCTCTGGCCTGCCTCAAGTCGAGTCCAAACTCCCAGCATGCTCTTCTCTTGCCCCACAGCTCTCTGTCCTTCACTTCCAAATAAACAAAGCCCTCCTGTTGTCTGCCCGGCTCTTCATCTGTCTCCTGATGTCTCAGGCTGGTTCCCTGCCTGCCATGTGTCTCATTCTTACCTCTTGTTCCCATGCTCTGTCTGTCTTTCTTGGCCTCCCTCAACTCACTAAGTTTTTGAAAGTTGTATCCAATAACTCCCCCTCAAAAAAAAAGTCTCATGTCTATAATATTTCCTGTCTGATTTATTCACCCTGAGATTGTTAATATTGCCTTTAAACTGTCTTTGAACCTAGTCGCTCATCTGGTCTCTGCTCTTCTTTAAGTAAATACCCAAGCCTTCCTTTGTGAAACAGCTCCCAAACTGAACTAAACCGAGGCAATGTTGAGTCAGGCAGGAGGCCCTGGTACACTGAGCTCTAGAGTCAGAACTCCGTGGGTTCAGATGGCCGTTGCTGGGTACCCACAAGACTGTGACAGGTTCCTTGGCCAACCTAAGTCTCAATCTCCTAGTATAAGGTAGGAGAATAAGACCTACCTAGCAGGATAAATACAAAAATACCTGCTTCCCCGCATATTTATAATTCATAAGTTTGTCTCAGAAAGCCACTGGAGAGTGTGTAGACATGAGCACAGATTTAATTCCATCATCATTAACTTTCTCAAGAGTGGCTCTCGGATAAAGCTGTGCCATCAGCCTGGCCCATGAGCATTAAGGTAGACACCGTAAATACTGGAAGGGAATGATGGATGACAGCACTTGGAGTCGTCAGAACAGATTTAGCAAGCAGAGAAGTAAGCATTAGGAAGACACCCTATCTGGGATGATTCCCAAGCTGCTGTGCCAGGTAACCTGAACTCTCAGTGGTCAGCCAGCGGCAGTTTGCTGTAGTTGCTGAGCTGACTCAGGAGAACAGCCTCTGTCTTGTAACTGTGAACTTGGAAAATGTGACTCCAACAACCGACAGCACAGAGGGCTGAGAAGAGAAGGAGCAAGAGGACAGTGGTGTGCTCTGTCACCACCATAACCTCTCGTCTAAGAGGAAAATTCATGTAGGACTGTTTGGTCTAGGAGAGCCTTGCAAGGTGTCTCAGCCTGTGGCCACCCCATAGGGCAGACACTCTTAGGACACATGGCTCCATGGAACTATCTACCTGTTTCCTGAATTCTATAAACTTCCCCCAAGGATGTCTGTTTGTGCAGCTCCCCTTTGCCTTGCCCTTCTCTCATGTTTCTAGTTAGATGAACCTTGAATCAGGTGCCCACTAGAACCAAGATGGCAGCCGGAAAGGAGGCTAGACTTCTCCACACTCCTACCTGGGCCAAGGTTCTCAGTTCCCCCAAAAGGTGTTTGTACAACAAAAATCATCTTATTGCTGTGCAGACAGTAGGATTCAAAGACAGCGACGCTCCTGTAGTAGGTTATGGAGTAGGCCACACCCAACTTCATGTAGTTAGAGCTCTGCTTCTTCCTGGTTCTCAGATCTTCACAGTATGAGTATGTCTGTGCTCATGATGGGTCAGTGTCAATAGTACCTGCCACTTAGTATATTTATATTATGCATCACCTCTAGTTATTAAATATAACACAATATATGTTAAATGTCTAGTACATAGTAAGGCCTCTGAAACTAGTTGTGTTATATAAATTTTTAGGGGAAATTCCTGTCTGATTCATCTTTCATTTCTAGTATTGTCTTAGACATACAGAAAGCCTTGGGAACATTGACTGGGGAGATTAGTTCTCCAAACATTTATTTACTGGTGCCTCTCTGGATGAGGAAAAAAGACAGGAGGGGCACCTGCCTTTACAGAGCTACCATCTAATGGGGAATGTCAGTCAACAATGACCAAACAAAATCAACAGTTGACAAATAGTGAAGAAACCTAGGGCGAGATCAGACCTACAGAGCAAGAGAGTTCTGTTTTAGATTCTGAGTTCAGAAGACTTCCAGAGGAGGATAAAGGAGCCACAGAGGCTGTGTGCCCGAGGAAATGCCACAGTTCCATTCAGAACCTGAGATCCACAGCACAGGTAGTCTGTGAGGCTTTGATCAGACAAGATCAACATCTTAAGCTTTTAAGCAGCCCCTTCATTGAAAGGGCTCCCATCCTCCTCCTTCCCCTCCTCTTAGCTCTTAACAACAAACAAAGCCTCGGCTACAGCTACCTTCGCCTGCTCCTTTTTCCAGGCTCTTCATTCAAATTTTATAGCCCCTTCTTCCCTCTTCTGTTCCAAAACGGCTTTGATCTTTTGCCCTTTTCCTCTCTAAGTGTTCTGTGGCCCTTTTCTGCAGAAGATGCACATTTTCAGCAAGGCTCTCATCCCTGCGCCGCGCCCTCAGAGACTATCACGGAACAACTGAAAGTGCTGAGCGCATTAGGGAGGCAAGAGCTGCAGACAGGGAAGGTCAGAGGCGCTGAGCTGACACAGCTGCCTGAGCAGGAGTCCCAGGGCAGGTACAGTGGCTCATGGGCCAGCACTGTTGAGGGGTCTACCAGCTAACTGCACATTACGGGCTTAGAGATGACGCCGGTGGCCCTTGCTGGTTCCCCATCCTATCTCCACTGAGTTCAAGGTGTCCTGTCGTCGACACAGAAGGAGAGGACATGTCCTCAGCAGCTCTGTCGGCTTTTCTTGACTGTGACAACTCAAAGTGAGGGCCATAGACAAAGCTTGGGGGATGCTCAATGAAGCGGCATTTTGTACCAGTCACCCGGGACCTCATTCTAATCTTGTGACATCATATAACACTTGTACAATGTCTTACCTAATACAATTTTTAAAACTAACTCATTTCCCTTATTTTCAAGAAAATGTTTATATCACGTTCAAAAGGGAACAAGCAATGGGCTTTTTAAAAAAATACAACAACAATTAAATGATGTCAAAGGGACAGCGATTCACATGCTGGTGCTTGCCAGATACTTTAAGCCTAAAGTTCTAGTCTGTCTGTGAGAGGAAAAGCAAAAGTCAAAAGCAAGCACACACACAAAACGAAGAGGGTGGATAAGGAACAGTAGAGAGGTGTTAACGCTAGAGTAACACTTGCCTCGTTTTTGATCAGCAGCTAAAAATTAAAGGAAAAGGTCCTCAATACAACCGCAATTGAATGAAGTATTGTGTGAACACAGCACATTAACTCACAAGGAAACTCATCAGCACATTTGTGTAACAGGTCTGCTCCTGCTACCACCCAACCTGTTTTATTTACTTAATACTTTTATCTTTGTGTACGTGTGTCTGTCTGTGTGATAATACAACATGTATGTGTAGGTATCTGTGGAAGTCTGAAGAGAGTTTCAGATCCCCTAGAGCTGGAGTTACGTACGGGTGGTTGTGAGTCGTCTGGTGTGGGTGCTGGGAACCGAACTTGAGTCCTCTGGAAGGGCAGCAAGCTCACTTAATCACTGAGCTACCTCTCTACCCCTATACCTGTTTTCCAAAGACACCAGCAGTGTCAGGATCCTGCCTCTTTGAGTGGACACCTAACCAAGCACCCTGCTGAGAACACTGCTGACCACCTAATGGTGGCATTTACTGAACTCTTATGACCAACCAAGATCTTCGTGTTGGTGCTTGGGACAAAGCCTCTAAGGAATGCATTATTAGCTGAAACCAAGGAGCCCAGAACCTAGTAAAACTACGATTCCAGCTCAGGATGGTCCTTCTCTGAAGCCTGGTGACCTGTCCCTGTCTACTACCTCTCAGTTGCCCAAGCCGAGCTGTTGGATTTCTTTATTAAACCACTGGTTTTGCTCAGAGAAGTGATACTCCAGGTCTTTGTTGAAACTTTTTCTCCAGGGAGCTTTGGCTGGGTGTCAAACTACCCAGCACGAAGTGAAGGAAAGCAGCCACCAGTTAGTGTGGACACCACGCTAAGGGCCACAACAAGGCCACCAGGATTGGTGTTTCTGCTTAGTATGATGTGGGCAGGAGACAGAATGCACAGCATGTTTCTCTGTCACTGGCATGGCTGCTATGGTGGCTAGTGGCTAGAGTTGGTGATACAGCTTGGCTCGGGACACCCGTCAGGACCCCGGGGCTTCTCGTCTGTTTCTTCCTTGGTGTTTTTATTTTATTTTTCTATGTGGTTTCCAACAGGGTGAGAGAACATCTTAGCAGCTGAGGCTGCAAGCGCCCATCTGTTGAGGAGGAAGTGGAAGCGGTCCATCTTGATTCTGCCATATCCTTTGATTGAAGCTGTCATGGGATCAACCTAGAAGCAAGAGCAAGGAAAGAAATTCCACCTTCTGCTGGTGGAGTGATAGACTTCTAGCTATCTTTAACGTGCCATAACTGTGAAGCCACGGAGAGGATAACTCTTAAGCTGAACTGGAATGTACTGAACTGATAAGGAGGGGCCAATTGGGCAGGATTCAGGGCTGGGTGTGGAACCTTCCTATCTGTTGTTTCCTCAGGTTTTGCATAACACCAAGGTCTCTAGGAAAGAAAGAAAAATTAAAAACTGCACCCTATGACCTCCAAGCTTTCTTCCAGAAGAATACGACTCTTTGCTAGAGCCAGGAGACTCCCCGATACGGCTTCTGCCTGTTGCTTTCATCTTGTCCATTTCGCTGTCTTGCCTCCCCTTCCAGCCCCTGTTCTCTGACCTCTGCCCCACTGACCTTCCCTCTGTTCTTGTCACGGGTCCTGTGCATGAAAGTGCAAACGCCTGGAGCTCCCACTCCAGGGGTCTGCACATCACCAGACTTCTCCAGGCATTGCGATCAGGGAGATCTTGCGTAGCCACACAGCCATCCTTAAACTCCTATCACCTTCATCCATCTGCTTCCCTTTATTCTGCTTAGTATCTACCTTACACCAGCTCGCTGATGTATCTCCTCTCGTTTCTCCCTCCACCAGCAATCAGATCCCCCAGTTGTGAGAGCCCATCTGTCTCGTTTGTTGCCCTCATTCTTGGACCCAGTACAGTCCCTGACACTGACTGGGCACTCAATGCCCAGTTGAACAACAGCATGATTTGTTTAATAAAGGAATGGTATTCACTGTAAGGTCATTTTGCCCTGTCTTCTCTTCCAAAGTGACTCAATAAATTCCAGAAGAGGAGGAATTGTACAACGGTCCCTACGCAGGAAGCCAAATTAATATTCCTTATAAGGATGGTCCTGACAGGGACTTGGTCATTTCACACCCCTCTAGCCTGGGTTCCAAGGCCTATTACATATCTTTAGGGGATGGAGGAAGGAGTAAGACAAGGTCTCATTATCTAGACCAGGCAAACCAACATTCACTGTGTATTAAACTGGACTTGAACTCTCAATCCTTCTGTCTCAAGCTTCCCAAGTGCTGAGATTATAGGTATGTGACACTACACTCGCTTCTAAATGTCTTTCTGAATCGTGCTGTGACAAGGTGATTCCAGGTCTGTGGACAGGCCAAGCTGACGAGGTTCTGAGCAGAGTCTGTCTGAATCACAGGGAAAATCATAGCTCATGCATGCTCTGGCTCATGCTCGCTGTATAGAGATACACTCTACAGGTCCATCGAAATCAGTGCTAGCCAGCCTCAGATCCTCTCCGGCTTCATTGAGGCTCTCTGCCCTCTGGGTGGACTGCTGACCCCTGTTCAAGAATAGGGAGGATATTTCTTCCTTCTTCTTCCTAGCCCTGACTGAAAAGCACAGGGTCCACTCTCCTAGTGAGTCTCCACAACAGGCAGGAACCTCAATTGACTGCTTTGCAGCCAGTCACCTGAAAGTGTATGGATAGGTATCATCTTGGCCTCCCTAGCCAGAGAGTTCACCATCTCCATCACCATGACATCTGGCTGTGGCATACATTGCAAAAGAAAGATTATTTTAACTCACACTATCTATGAACTTAAACTTGAACTTAGTTCCGGTCAATCAACATCCATACTTCAAGGATTAACAGAATCTAGGAGGCATTCTGTCAAGAACCCAGAGTTACCACACTTGAAAACATTTCATACATCCACCAGCCCCTCTCCCAAGCTCAAAACACTTTACCTGAGTGTTTCAGAAAAGATCCCCAAGGTCACCAGTTCCATGACATAGTTCCAAATGGATTGAGAAGTGTTTTCCCTAAAGACATTAGGTCTTGATTTATTATATTCTACCTTGATAATCTTAGCTTGGGCAATTGTCCTTTAAGACAGTAGTTCTAAAAATGTGAGCCAAGAATCTTTTGGCTTCGAGCACTAATCTCCACAGTATGTACTTTAGGGGCATGAATTAATAATTAAGTCATGATCAATTTTCTTGTGATAGCCCTTCTTGGTGTCTCATCAGGAACACTGCCATTCCATCAGGAGAGCCTCTTTGTCTCCACAAATAGGAGATGGGGGTGGGCAGGGAGGAAAAGGGAAAAGGAGCAACTCCTTTGAAAGGACCCTGGGCCCGCAGTCTACCTGAAATGCTTAGGATTCATTTGCAGGAAGCATTGTGGTCCTCCTAGGGCTGGGTACTACATGATTAAACCATGGGTAAATGATTTCTCCAGCCCCATTTAAAATCTGGGGGTCAGAAGGCCACTACAACAATAATCATCGAAGTCCAGAATAAACAAAAGACACTAAAAATCAGTGCACAGGAGTGTGGTGAGAGCCGGCCAGCAGAGTTACATAGACTCCTACAGGGGCTCCATCGTTGTGTAGAGAAAAGCATAGTTTTAGGGTGGAAAATCCCATCAGAGGCACCTTCATCAAATGGCCCACATTCACATTATCAGTGACGCACAAGGAGACGTCCCACGACCTCTGATGCAGTGTGATGGGAGCTACTTCTGTTGCCATTAGTTCTGTGTAACAAGAATTGAACCCAGGGCCTTTGCTATGAGGCAAGTGCTCTGCTGCCAATCTCCATCTCCAGCCTATGAGTGTACTGCTTGTTTAGTTGGTTGGTTTTTTTTTTTTTTCTTTTTGACATAGAGTCTTCCTATATGGCTCAGGATTGACCTGGAACTCTGATCTTCTGGCTTTCATATCCCAGAAGCTGAGATTATAGGCACGTGCGATGATCGTGCATGGTGCCCACAAAGGATTTTCTTGGCAAATACGTAAAAACCGAAGGATGACCATGAGGAGATGTTCCACAAACCAAATCTGAGAAGTGTCCTACAAAACTGAAAAGCAGTACCCTTCAAAAGTCTCAGTGTCTTAAAAGACCAAGGAAGAAGGAACTGCCTGGATTAGAGAGACCAAGAAGTAGACACAACACTTGGCGTAATATGTGAGCCTAGATCTGGATCCTGGTTCAGAAGACAGCATCAACAGACCGCTCACAGAATCTGAAGAAATTATCACTGTGGATGTCTGGTTTAGATCCGTGTACTACAGTGATGAGGTGTTGACATTTGGGAACTGAAAAGTATGTAGGAGTTTAGCCATTTATTTTGAAAGTCCGAAAATGCTTCAAAATTTTAAAAAATCTTTGGACCCTGAAGAAATTAGGGGAAAAGAAACACTGGAGTCAGCTGGATCAACAAATGATGGTTGAGAATGACGAGAACTATTCATTCCCCCAGTGAAGAGGTTTTCTGCAGGCCAGTGGCTGTCATGGAGCTAGAGAAGCCGCCTTGGTGGAGATTAGCAGCCTGCAGTTACACTGTAGAATGCTGCACTGGGGGTCACTGGAAACTTGAACGTAGCAGGAAAGGAACAATAGAAACCAGGATGTGTTGAAGATGGCCCCAAACAGCCTGAGTCATTCCAAAAGCCTGAGAAAGAAAGGCCCTGTGGGGAGAATGAGCCAGTGACAGGGTACGGTCAGGGAAGCATGGTAGAGTGGGAAGCAGAGAGCTAGAAGTTGGGGGGCAGCTGGGGAGAACATGGTTAAAGATGTATAGGTAGCAGGAAAAAGCTGAGGTTAGGGGTACATAGAAAGGGTGAGCAACAGGCGCTTCACCCCTGAGAATGAGGAAGTGAGAGTTTCTTTGGCAATGCCTAAGCTGAGGGGGTGAGTCTCTGAGAATTAGATAGAGAGAGTTGGAGAGCATTGGGAGCAGGTACATACTGAGATCACACTGAACGTGAAGAGGGGAATGATGGTTTCTTGGAAGACAGGGAGGGTATCGACTTGTCAGCGAGTGTTACCTTGGCAACAAGAAGGTAGCAAGCAGAGCAGAAAGGCTGTAACCAGTGATGTAAGAACTCCCCAGGCAGGGTCTGGGGTCTTAGCATCCACCCTGATCTGGTGTTGATTTCTCCTCTTCCTTCCCAAGTCACGGCTCTAAGCCAGAGTGTGCGACCCGCAGCAATAGGAGAATCCCCAGGAGCCAGGGATGGATTACCACTTCGCTCTACCCAAGGAAAGCTCTGGCAAAAGGTCTGGATCTCAGAAGGTCCAAGGCTCAGAGTCAAGGCCGAGTTTGCTCTTTATTGTCCAGTCTGAGGGAATTCAGTTATAGGCAATATTAACTACAGCACTCTATAACATCTTTTTTTTTTAAAGACTAGTTTAGAGGTATTTTTTCTCCATGAAACATTGATGGAGACTTGCAGAGCTGAGCCCAGGAAGCACTCAAGCCCAGCAAAAAGGGAAAATTGTGCGGCCTGAATCCAAGACAAACAGAAACTCCACACTGGAAACAAACTTTTATCAATTAAATGAGTGTGTAAATGATTAGCCAGCACTAAGCCAAGATGCTGATCTATCTGAGAGTGTGCAAGTGTGTGCAGATATGACGGAGGGGAGGGGAGGGGAGGGGAGGGGATGCTGACAGTCACGGTAGCTACAATAGGAAGCATCTGTGTATGAGCAGATTTTTACTTTTAATTCTTTTATTTAATTTTATTTTTTTCGTATACTATGTCCTAATTACAGTTTCTCCTCCCTCCAGCTCCCCCACTGCCCCTCCCATCCAGATCCACCCCCTTTCTGTCTCTCATTAGAGAACAAACAGGCTTCTAAGGGGTAATAATCAAACAAAGCAAGATAAAACAGAAACTAACACATCAGAGTAGATCAGGACAAATGGGAGGAAAAGAGCCCAAGAGAGGACTCCAATCAGAAAGGGACACACAGAGGCTCACTTGTTCGCACACTCAGGATCTGTGAAAAATGCTAAACTGGAAGCCATAATATATACACAAAGGACCTGTAGGGTAAAAAGAGAGAAGAACGTATATATACATATATATGCGGTTATATATATGTCTGTGTATATATGGTTTTATATATATACATATATATATACGTTTATATGTATTTATGTGGTTAAATTAAAAAACAAAACCACAAATAGACCCCTGACACAACATTATGAGACAAGGAACCTCCAAAGAGTAGTTTTTTTTTCTTCCCCCCGTCAGTGAAACTTCCTTGGAGTAAACTAAATTTTCATTTGCAAATAATTGTCAATTGGAGATTGCTTCTGGTTAAATATCGGGGCACGTGTACATTTTTTCCTTTCAACTCTAGAACCCTATAGACCTGTGCAGGTCCTCTATATGGTCCCTAGACTCTGTGAGTTCATATGTGTGTCAATCTTGCTGATTTAGAGGGCCCTGTTTTCTTGATATTCTCCATCCCCTCTGGTTCTTACATTCTTTCCACTTCCTCTTCCACAGTTTTCCCTGAGCCCTTAGGTATTGTAGAATATTATTTTAATATGTGTTACGTTGGTTTTTACTGTGGAACATTGATTTAATGATGCAAACATGTGTTGCATTCTTTTATGCTGCATTTGTTTAACTCTGTGAAGCTGTGTTTCTTTGTCTAAAACACCTGATGATCTAATAAAGCGCTAAACAGTCAATAGAGAGGCAAGAGAAAGAATAGGCAGGGCTGGCAGGCAGAGAGAATAAATAGAAGGAGAAATCTTGGAGGAAAAGAAGAAGAAAGAGAAAGAGAACAAGGAGAGGAGGATGCTAAGGGCCAACCACCCAGCCACACAGCCAGCCACAGAGTAAGAGTAAAAGTAAGATATACAGAAGTAAGAAAAGGGAAAAGGCCAGAAGCAAAAGTAGATGGGTTAATTTAAAGTTAAGGAAAGCTGGCAAGAAACAAGCCAAGCTAAGACCTGGCATTCATAAG